TTGTCGCCAACAAGGTTGCTGCACCTGCTCGCGCTGGTGCCTTTGCTCCCAAGGACGTCACTGTTCCTGCTGGCAACACTGGTATGGAACCCGGAAAGACATCTTTCTTCCAGGCTCTCGGTATCCCTACCAAAATTGCTCGTGGTACTATTGAAATCGTTTCCGACGTCAAGGTCGTTGTTGCTGGAACTCGTGTCGGAACATCCGAAGCTACTCTTCTTAACATGTTAAACATCTCGCCGTTCACCTACGGTATGACTGTTGTTCAAATTTACGACTCAGGTAACTCTTTCCCTCCCGATGTTCTCGACATCGGTGAAGAGGAGCTTGTGTCTCGCTTCCTTACCGGTATCAAGACCATTGCTGCCATTTCCCTTGCCCTCAACTACCCCACCATCGTCTCCGTTGCCCACTCCCTGGTCAACGCCTACAAGAACCTCATTGCTGTTTCTTTGGCTACTGAGTACACCTTTGAGGGTGCGGAGAAGGTAATGAACACGCCATTCTTGTAGAATTTGCAGCATCTCATGATTTGCGTAGGCCAAGGAATACCTCGCTAACCCTGAAGCGTTCGCTGCCGCTGCTCCTGTTGCTGATGCTCCTGCTGCCGCTGCCGAAGCTCCCAAGGCTGAGGAGGAGGAGGACAAGGAGGAGTCTGATGACGACATGGTACGTCTTCTATGTATAATCCGAGCCATCATTATTGATGTTTATATTCGTTCAGGGCTTCGGTCTCTTCGACTAAAAAGTGCATCCAAAGAGCTGTCCGGATTTGTTCCATGTACCTCCTAGTGTTGCTGTGTATGACCACGCAAACGACGAATGATAATTATGTGAAGGAAAGCGGCACATCTTCGGACCAGAATTTAATCCGGAACAAATAGGAGGGTGAGATTAAGAGCCTGCAAAAGCCGAAGTGACTGTGACGCAATGATAAAAGCATGTGCATGCTGGCGCCGCTGAACGTTGAGTTTTGGAGTACAGTCGAATCCAATAAGGATCCTCAACAAATTAGTGGAGACTACGCTTGCCAATGACGCATATGAGTGCTAATGGTAAAATCCACTGAGATGCCTGCATTAGCGAGATTCAAGGATCAGTGAGTTCTAATTATCCGGTGCGAGAAACGTCAAGAAACGTCACTGGCACCGCGATCCGATTATCTTTCCCAATTCGGAAATGCATCCTCGGTTTTTGGGCCCCTTCGCTCGATATTCAACGATTCAGTCGTTCTCATATAATCCTCACTTCCTTCTCCCACTTTATCCTTCGTCTTCTCTTCATCTCACCACCATCTGTCGCCCCTCATGGACAAATCCGGCGGCCACCTCATCGTCGTTTCCAATCGTCTCCCCATTACCATCACCAAAGATGCCGCTGGCGAGTACCATTTCAAAATGTCGTCGGGCGGACTGGTTTCTGCCCTCTCCGGCTTCAAGAAGTCTCTGAGCTTCACATGGATCGGTTGGCCCGGATTCTTCATCCCACCCAAAGATCGCCCCCACGTCGACAAGCGCCTAATGGAGGAATACTCTTGTCAAGCTGTTTATCTCGATGATGACGTTGCGGATCGTCACTACAACGGTTTCTCGAATTCGATACTATGGCCCCTTTTCCACTATCACCCCGGAGAAATGAACTTCGACGAGGCCAACTGGTTGGCCTACAGGCAGGCAAACATGCAGTTTGCAGAAGCAGTTCGACAACAACTCACCCCCGGGGCAATGGTTTGGGTTCAGGATTACCACCTTATGCTCTTGCCCATGCTTTTACGCGGGCTCATCGATGGCCGTCACATCCGAGGCTTCGCTCAGGAACAACTATCTCGAATTACAGAGGGAATCGAAGGGGAGGAATTTGAAGCACCCCCCACACCAGCCAGTATTCCTGGTATCAAGATTGGGTTCTTCCTCCATACACCATTCCCCAGTAGTGAGATCTATAGGTGCGTCACATTCCACACCCGATTTTACTTGGCTCATTTATGAACTTGTAGGATCTTGCCCGTGCGACGCGAGATTCTTTACGGTGTCCTCTACTGTGACCTCATCGGTTTCCACACCTACGACTACGCACGTCATTTCCTTTCGTCGTGCACACGCATCCTTGGGTTGCCAACCATGCCAAATGGCGTTGAGTTCGAAGGTCGGCTTGCCCACGTCGGAACCTTCCCCATTGGGATTGAGCCCAGCTCCTTCATTGATGTAAGCTCTTAGCTCATACTAACACTCATAGATCCTAATCATAGACCACCGCAGAACTTGCATAAACAATCTGTCAAGGACCGTATCAGTCAACTGGAACAACGTTTCAGTGGGGTCAAACTCATCGTCGGAGTGGATCGTCTAGACTACATCAAGGGTGTCCCGCAGAAACTACACGCGATGGAGTTGTTCCTCACACAGCACCCCGAGTGGATTGGAAAGGTCAGTTGCAACTTCAATCTCCGGGTAATACTTACAAACCTTGAGACTCCAGGTTGTGCTCGTTCAACTCGCAGTGCCGTCACGCCAAGACGTAGAAGAATACCAGAACTTACGGTCAACAGTCAACGAGCTTGTCGGTAGAATCAATGGTCGATTTGGTACTGTTGAGTTCATGCCGATCCACTTCATGCACAAGAGTTTGGCATTCGACGAGCTGTGTGCGCTCTATGCTGTCAGCGATGTATGTCTAGTCTCGAGCACGAGAGATGGTATGAACTTGGTATGTTTCATGACAGCCAGCTATCCTACCTCCTAACCCCTTGACGCAGGTATCCTACGAGTATATCGCATGCCAACAAGCGCGACAGGGTGTTATGATCCTTTCCGAATTTGCTGGCGCCGCCCAGAGTCTTAATGGATCGATCGTTGTTAATCCCTGGGACTCCCAACAAGTCGCTGATGCTATTCACGAGGCTGTGACTATGGATGCCGCCACGAGGGTGGAGAACCACCGAAAGTTGTTCAAATATGTGAACAAATACACTGCTGCCTTCTGGGGCAGCAGCTTTATCAGGGAGATGAGCCGTATTGATGCAGGAGACACGGACAAGAGCAACCAAGCTGGGCCAGAACCGCAGATCAATGGAGTTTCGCCGAGTCCTGCCCAAGTTGTCGTTTCTGTTTGACCTCTCCTTTCTTTGTTACTTAGATGTAATCTTATTGTATTTTCTTTGTTCGCTTTATGTTCTCGCCTCTGAGCTTAGTCTTGATTTTTACTTCGTCTTCGGAACTAGAAAAATAGACTCGATTGTATGCGGACATACTAGATTGGACCGCTTGCGCCTTTCTCATAGTTTGACTTCAAGCGCTTGTATCCTTCCTTCCTTTACCCGTCAGCGTCAATTCACAGGCGCCAGATCATGATCGAATTGATAAGCTTGGATTTCGAAAGCGATCTATTCTTGGGGTGGGATAATGTTGACCTTGACCTCGTGTAACTGACGACGTGATATATAAGTTACGTGATATATATAGCAATCGTAGAACATGTCTCGGTGCACAGCCAAAATTCAACAAACACCGGCTGGCGGCTTCCAGGACCCGCCCCCTGAGGGCTAACTAGAGAGACTAAGGAGTAAGTTGGTAACAAGCCGTTGCAATCTCCTCAGAATTTCACGGGCGCGGATACGTCACCTTTTTTTTTGACAGGCATAGCCTCACCGCAGCGAGATCGCCCAAGCTCAGTATATTGAAAGAAGATATGGTGATTCATCAAGACGTCCGTACGAAGCCCGGGGTGTATATTAACACCACGTCTTCTTGGCGGACCAGCCAAACTCGTCGTAAGTAGCCTTCACGGCTTCATGGCGATAACTATTGTACCACATTGTGCCCGAAGTTGGGGCCTCGAAGTTACCGTGTGGTTCCTTGGTTGTAACATGTGTCCTCTTTCCCCGCTAGGAGCCAGGTTATGCCGTGATAAACGGGTGTGTTGAGGTCTCCGTGTTGGGTTGTCTACATACACTTCCCAGCCGTCTTAGGTGTGTTCTTCCTCCGAGAACCTGGGGACACCACGCTGAAACCCTCATTTAGAGCACGGTGACGTCCAAGCTCTTGTTCGTGGCGTCTCTAACATCCACGTTTTTGCTCATGGAAGATCATGTAAACGGAGACCTGGGTTAATGTTGAGAGTGTTCAGTCTGAGTGGATAGCGAACGCACGAACCGGTCCGTCGTACGTTCAATGGTTCAAGACGAGAATATAGATCCATTCTGTATGAAGCTAATATCATACTTCTGCATCTTCGTTTCCAGGCGGAGCTGTTCTAGTAGGAAATCAGAGAGTTCTCCAGGCCCACAAAAGCGGATAAAGGGCCAACGGTCTTCTTTGATTTGCCCAGGGGGGTTTAACCGCATGGTTGTGACCGGCGCGCGGCAAAAGGGCTGCTAAACTACCTAGAGACGAATTCGAACCCAGACAAATGTGACGACAATTCGCGGGGGGACACAGCCCTCGGATCCTCTGTGAATACAAAAACATTGGTAATTGTGTGCGGCGGCGTTGAATGCGATAGGAAAACACACATATCGTTACGAGATGTAGCCTGCGAACCAATAGATAGCAAGCCTTGGAATATCTGCTGTTGAATATATGTGTACTGACAGTTGCTATCACTGTACCCATCTGGTTCGAATTCCCATTCGCAAAATCACAAACCGCGATCACGGCACCCCGTTCCTAAGATGACGCACGCACTAGTAAAGCTAAACAAGAATTTGTGAATTATTTACCCCTTCAATAAATCTTCTACTGCGGTATTGGAGTCTGGTGTGGGTAGGGGTGGGGCCTAAGTTAAGTCAACTCTGGCGAAATTAGTGTCTTCGACGCAAGGAATCATGCTCAGGTGACTGCGCGATTTTACATCATGCATAGCCTTCGTGTCAATCTATCACTAAAGTATTATAGCAATGGAGAAAAAAAGAAGGTGGATCTGACCTTGGCAAAAGGGACTTGGATCTAGGGCACATTTCCTTTAACTGCGTCATATCGATCTTCTAAGCGTCGGTAGATCAAGGCGGACTGGCGTAATGGTTAACGCGCCAGTTTCCGGTGCGATCAAACATTCGCAACGAGCTGGAGATTTCTGGGTTCGAGTCCCAGGTTCGTCGCCATTTGTTTTGTACTGCCTTGCAGATCGTTTCCTTTATACTGTGGTTCGGGAGGTTTTTTGCTGCCTGTAGTTGGCTGGCGACCGATGGCAGGGGTGGCCTTATTCCTAATATTGAACAGGGTTGTAAATCTTTCGCCAAGATGCGTGGTACTATGACTGCGAGCACATGAGGCTGTTTTTATGCGAGTCGGGCGGGGTCGTAACCGAGTTAGACGATATTTTTCCGATGTCAACGCTGACATGAATCATTAACATCCCGCCGAATTATCAAGTGCTGATGACGCGCCTCAGGCGGCCGTTAATCTATTGACATATTGATTGGTGAGTGTGGCTGAAACTCTGACCGACACTAACAAGCTATGCATGACTGCGGTAGTAGAGAGAAGTACTTATGTTTCGCCGTACCCGTTTTAAAATTATAGGGGCGGGCCTATTCTCAGCCACTGCCAAGCACTCAGTCCTAGTCAGCGGGCTATTATTCCCCAAGGAAAATCTTACAAGTCTGACTCTGAGCCGGCTATGTGTCAACAGCCAGCCCGACATAGCGGAACCTCGGTTGCTCCGCGGGTATCAGGGGCGATGAAGGGCCAGCGCATTTGTTGGTTATGTAGGTCTACGGTGAAGGAGGTTTTGCATGTCGGTACCTCGAAGCGATGGCCTTTGTGGAACATTGGCGTGAAAAGTTTGAATGTTCGCTGAGTCGTTCAGCGCAATTGTTGGAGCCCTTAAGTAACTTTAGGGACGGATCACCAATCTTTGATCACTGCTGTGCTGTTGGGGGGTGTTACCAGTTGCCGGAAAACGGAAAACCATTCCGATCTCGCTCGGTGCTGTTTCGTTCCGAATCCGTAGTGCTGATTAGTTTGTTTTGTTTCTTCGGGATGGGTCAGGGTGTCTGACTACATAAACTAGGGGACACCACTACCCTGGAGGCTGAGTGCAGATACACATTGTGCTGTTCTTGTAAAATGTGGTGAAAGAGAGGTGTAGCGGTAAGTCCCTCATTATCAAGTTGCCAGGCGTCTACTTTGTTTTTAGAATTCAACAACTTGTAAAATCTCCCTACATAGATCCCGGAGTTTTGGCTGGTGTTAATGGTGAAATGTTACGAACCTCTCATTCGGGCCCATTTACAGCACAGGAAGTGAAGGTGTACCTAGTCAAGCTTCCGAGTAATACAGCTTTTTTTTCTTCTTGCTGTGCATACACGCGTGGAGTCTAGTGGGGTATTATTCAGGTGCGATAGCATAGAGACTGCGTGCTTGGTTAGGTCTTAAGGTTTTTTATAATCTTGCAATTCGGTGACTCGAAAACGGAGACTGGGTGGGTCCTCGAGGAAGTAATGTCGTCGGAGTCCGGACCTTTCTCTTGACTGCTTCAGACGGTTACGTTGACGCTGAGAATGGTGTGCTTACTAGCCACGTTGTCTATTATATATGGAAAAGAGGAGAGGGATGTTCAAGAAAGAAGATCAGCATTAATGCGCATGGTACATCTATAGAAATGAGCCCGATTTCAGAGGCCACAAGAAGGCTTTAATTCATTTCCGGCCCAGAGGTCGATCGGTTTGGTTCAGTTCATACTAACGACGCAATTAGCCGGCAGTGGGCCTAAGTAGGAGTGTTGGAGAGTGACGCTAAAATGACTTTACTGCACGGAGCTGGGCCACGCCCTAGGGCCTGAAGAGCGACATAATGGTCTCAGTACAGGAGAGACACGGGTCTTGGCACACGATCATACAGGGTATGTGTGTCTGCAGCGTGGTTCGTATTTTTGGTTATGCAGTTATGCAAATCCAGTATCCTTTTTGTTTAGCGTGGATTTTATCAACAAAAAAGGCTGGCCACACTGGACTGGACGCTGTGGCGAGGGATGGCGCTGTGGGTTAGTACGGCAGGTAGGGTCGGTGAATTGGAACGACAACAGGGGGAGGGGAGCCAGGCATTGTGGGAATCTCCGAGTGCCAAGCTCGCGCACAGCCTCGTCCAAGTACTTATGGGTTGTGGTTTCAACGTTTGTTTTTGCCCACTTCCATTTTGACACGCTGTCGATGGCGGGCAAAGATTCCACTATTCCATCCATCAACGTAACCGATGTTGCCAATTCGACGCCTGCCCTCCATGTCGACCCCGGAGCCCCCAACTCTTCTCTCCTGGCTCCCGCCTCGCACCCGCCCCCTTCCCCGGTGTCATCTGACTATTCCTCCACTTCTACATTCCCGCCCTCCCCTACTATGTCTGTCCACTCAAATCCCCAGTTCAAGACATCCCTTGCTCTTCGTGAAAACCAACCCGATGACAGGTCTGGCCTTTCATCCCTTCACATGTTGAGCCCCAAAGCTGCCGAGGCCAATACGCACAAGAGGAAGCCTAGTAACGCTACCATAAACAGCTCCATTACGGAGGCTGATGTGGAGTTGGAGGATGTCTCAAAGGTAAAATCCTACGCGACTTCCCTCACTGACGTCGACTCTTATGTACCATCGACTCCAAAGTCTCCCGAACCCTCACAACCCAATAACAGAGAAAATAAAGACAAGAAGGAGAAGAAGAAGAAAGGGAGGAAGGGTTCAAATGATGATGACGGCATGACTACCCACCAGAGAGAACTCCTACTGGATGAAGGGATTGACCCAGCTCCGTTTATGTTCAAGCCCTACAAACTTGCCCATATGCTTGATCCGAAGGACATTGAGACACTGGTCAAATTTGGAGGAACGACTGGTATCTTACGCGGTTTAGGAACCAACCCCGAGCATGGTCTTTCAACCAAGTCTCTTCCGAGGACCGGGACGTCCAAGTCAGTTGCTTCTGCGAAATCGAAGAATGACCTCCCGACTATCACGCTCACCGAGCCAAGCGGTCTTGTTCGCGAACCCTCAAGTTCTGAGGACCACCCTGCATTTTCTGGCACTTTCGATGATCGCAGACGCGTCTATGGCGAGAATGTTTTACCCCATCGGCCCAGCAAATCACTGCTCGAATTAATGTGGCTTGCGATGAAGGATAAGGTTTTGGTATGTATTCGACGTCATTCATGAGCGAATTTCTCTGAGGCATTTTGCCATTCCAGATTCTTCTTTCAATTGCTGCGATTATTTCCCTCGCCCTGGGACTTTTCCAAGATTTTGGTACTCCCCGTGAACCTGGTCAACCACCAGTTGAGTGGGTTGAGGGTGTTGCTATCATGATTGCCATCGCAATCGTCGTACGTAATTTCTTTCTCTAACTAGTTGACGAGGTTGATTTTCGGTATCAGGTTCTTGTTGGTTCACTCAATGACTGGCAAAAAGAGCGTCAGTTCCAGAAGTTGAACGAAAAGAAGGAGGAGCGTGGAGTAAAGGTCATTCGAGACGGTCAAGAGAAAGTCGTTGATATCAAGGTGCATCCTATTCTATGTTGTTTTCGTCTCACGACTAATATCTTATTTCTTCAGGAGGTTGTTGTTGGCGACATAGCGCTTTTGGAGCCCGGCGAAATTGTGCCTTGCGACGGTGTTTTCCTCTCCGGTCACAATATCAAATGCGATGAATCTGGTGCCACTGGAGAATCGGATGCTATCAAGAAAGTCACCTATGACGAAATGATGGAGCTCTTGAAGGACGGTGAACCCGCTCATACCGATTGTTTCGTGGTTAGTGGTAGCAAGGTCCTTGAAGGAGTCGGGAAATATGTCATTGTAGCGATCGGTGAGAAGAGTTACAACGGTCGTATCATGACAGGTAAGTTGTAACAATTTCATTGTTTCTTGCTGTTAACCCGATTAATAGCATTGCGGACTGAGACTGAGGACACCCCGCTTCAAATCAAACTCAACCACCTTGCAGAACTGATTGCTAAGATTGGCTCAGCAGCCGGTCTTATCCTCTTTATTGCCTTACTTATCCGGTTCTTCGTACAGCTGGGGACTGGCGAGCCTGTTCGGTAAGCCCTTCTCAACACAGCTATTTTTATCATCGAGGCTCATCCACATCTAGAACAGCAAGCCAGAAGGGCATAGCCTTTGTTAACATCCTTATCATATCTGTCACGTTGATTGTTGTTGCTGTTCCAGAAGGTATTTTGCGCACGTTCGTTCCCCATATGACGTGGCTTACTGTATTTGAAGGTCTCCCACTTGCTGTTACATTGGCATTGGCATTTGCGACTAAACGCATGACCTATGAGAACCTCCTGGTTCGTGTTCTCGGTTCTTGTGAGACAATGGCCAACGCTTCAGTCGTTTGTACCGACAAAACCGGTACTCTCACGCAAAATGCTATGACTGTCGTTGCCGGCTCAATTGGCATCCATGCGAAATTTGTGCGGGAACTTGACGGCAATGCGGGACGCTCAAATGCCGGAGACAAGGGCGAGGCTCGCAAGCACCCCGAGGATTTTTCCATTGATCAAACCAAGCTGAATGACGTCTTGTCGCCTCAACTCCGGGAGCTCCTAAATGAAGCTATCGCTGTTAACTCTACCGCTTTCGAGGACGTTGATCCCGAGTCCGGGGAGCCAATTTTCGTTGGAAGCAAGACAGAAACGGCGCTTCTTCAGTTCGCCAAGGAACTTGGTTGGCGCAATTTCAGGGAGACTCGGGAGGGTGTTGAAATCATCCAGATGGTGCCCTTCTCCAGCGCGCGCAAATCTATGGGTGTCGTTATCAGACTGCCGAATGGTGGTCATCGCCTCTATGTAAAAGGCGCTTCTGAGATTCTATCGAAGAAGTGTAACCAGCATGTCGTCGTTCATAGCGATGGTAAATTCCCTGCAAGCGACGCTGTTGAGACGCGGCCTATCGACGAACTCGCTCAAGACAATATCAGTCGCACCATCATCTTCTATGCCAACCAGACTCTTCGTACAATTGCTCTCTGCTACCGGGACTTCCCGACCTGGCCCCCTCAGGGGACTACTGTAGATGAGCAGAACGAGGTAAGTCAATGTTGCAGTTTCCCTTCTGTTTTGATTGACTGTGAATGTGTAACTAGGTCCCTTATGATGAGCTTGCGCAAGA